ATAAACAACGGGTGTATTCGTAAGTACTCTCGACTCTTGCTGCAGTATTTATTTATAAGTGTTACCTTTTTGTTAATATTTTTTTAGTTTATTGAATATTTTTACATATTTACCTACATACAAGAACAAAATAAAATGTAGAACCCCCACCCCCCCATACTATGGCCACTTAAAACGACACGAGACCATTGTAAAAGAGGAACTTGGCGGAAAGATGTGGGGCAGGAGAGCCAGAGGAAGACAAGGAATAGCATGAATGGTAAGAACATGGGCTAGCCTAGCTCACGACCGTCAGGGATAGAGGGTCTTTTCATGTCAACCTCTGAGTCAGACATGACACCTCCAGGTATCCAGGTACCTATTTTTAAATACAAGATAGATGAGGTGGGGGATTTTTCTCATCAAAAGCAAGGCAAATGAACAAGCTTTAAGATCACGCCAATAACTCTGTATACCTACAAACTGGCGAGCGCTCATGTTTAATACTCAATTTATCTCTTTTGCTCTCTCCCTCTCTCTATCTCAATCCTCTTCTCTCTCTCTTTCTATCTCTCTCTTTCTCACTCTCTCTCTAACCCTCTCTCTTTCTCCCTTTTTCTCATTCACTCTCTCTCACTTTTCTCTCTCTCTTTCTCACTCTCTCTGACTCTGTCTCTCTCTCTCTCCCCCCTCTCTCTCTCTTTTTCATTCACTCTCTCTAACTCTTTCTCTCTCTCTCTTTCTCTCTCTCACTCTCTCTCACACTCTCTCTCTCTCACTCACTCACTCACCCAATCTCTCTGTCTCTCTCTCTGTCTCTCTCTCTCTCTCTCTCTCTCTCTCTCTCTCTCCCTCTCTCTGTCTCTTTCTCTCTGTCTCTCTCTCTCTCTAACACACTCGCACTTTCTCTCCCAGATGCTCCTACCACGGTGACTATCGGTCCTACCTTGACCAACTGGTCACTTTCAAGTCCTGGTGCATCCTGTGGGTGACCATAGCCCTGGTTCCTGTTGGACTGGTCATTGACGTGTCTGGAGTTGACCTCAACTACGTCATGGTCTGTGGATTTATACTGACCACTCCCAGCTTCCCGCCGGCTCTCATGGCCATCATCTGGACCAAGACCTCAGGTTTAGGCGTCATTGTAGGTCAGTGGAAGATTTGGTTGATTTTATTTGTTTGTTTGTTTAAAAATTTGTTTGAGCAAAGAGAAGCACATCGACGCAAAAATGATCATTTATGGTAAAAAAAAAAGTAAGACAGACAGACAGACAGACAGACAGACAGACAGACAGACAGACAGACAGACAGAAGAAACGGAGGGAAAGTAAAGAAGTAGGACCTACATGTGTCGTCCTCCAACCACCGGCGAAAAAGTTGAGAATACTTCGTTTCTCGTGATACATTCATAATATATCCAGTAAGTGTGCTACATAAAAGGACTGCCTCTCTGTCAGTGCGTATACTTGCGTCCTGTTCCTGTCTTTTAACATGAATGTTATTGTAGCTGGTTTTTTCGTCCCCGTAGAAAACTATTGTATTTGTTTTAGTTGTTTTAGTTGTAAGTGTTTTACGGCACTTGCAACACAATAAGGTCATATAAGTGCCGAAGATTAGAGGTGTTACGAGAGAGCAACAAACACAAAAAAGAAGGAGGGGAGATAATGGCGATAGATGTTTGAAAGAAAGAAGAAGCATACCACACCAGAGCACCCGCCAACCACCCACAACTATTGAATTAAATCCAAACACTTAACCAATTTATAAAAGAAAACCCCAAGACCAACACTGCCTTTATCGATTTTGATCTTGTTTCAAATCAATTCGGACCCCCCCCCCGCCCCTCTTCCTACGGCGCAAGACATGATATTGAAACAAACGTGGCCCCACAGAAAGTGAAGACCCTGCAATTGCCGACAAGATCAAAGAAGTTCCAATTAAAGACACAAACATATTCTGTCAGATAGACACACAAATGAGCAGACAATATACAGAAAAGCAATTAAAGGACTGGAAAGCCTAAAGCTGAAAACAAACACGTTTGTTTTTATGGTGACCGAGTCAGGCGATTGGTCGGGCCGATCAATCCGTAGTGAGCACCCCCGTATAAGTTTACATTTGTGAGGCAGCGTCGTGTAATCAGCAGCTCGTCAAAATAATGAACTCGAAGAAACTGGCACTTTCCGCCGATTTGGCAATTTTGATCGAATTGTTTTTTGGCCCAGCACCTTTTATGTCCATTTAAAAACACATTTCTGCGTGGGATTTACTGAAAAAAACAACAACCGTTGATTAAAGGTACAAACATAATATACATTTTCAGTTTTCAAGGACTCTTAAGGTACGGAAATCATTAACCTGACGGCCATTTTCTCTCTAACTTTACCTCTGAAACCAGGCGACCCCCCCCCCCCCCCCTTTATCTCAAGTATTTTGACTTCTATTAGAGATGGATGTGTATATTTTCACTGAAAGCAAGACAAATGACCAAGCTTTAAATCTTTGAGCCTGGATTTTTTTTTGGCTGACGCCGGAATTAATTATCTCAGGAGTGTCTATTACAACAAGGTACCTTGTTCAAATTGATTCTGTTGCCATATTTTTTCTATGAAAGTATAATGTATTTGATATTACTGGAAAGGCAATTGAATAAGCTATCAGATTAAAATGGGTTATCTGGTTCTTTGTATCATTATGTAAGTACGATCACGCAATAGGGGGGCTCTCATGGCCTAGAGGTTAAGTTGTTGGCCTCACATTCAAAAGTCCCGGGTTCGAATCCGGGTAGTGGCCGAAAAAAGTTCTTCTCTAAATTTGTCTCCTTTCACCTCCTTTCCTGCTCTCTAGCAATGTTCTGTCGTCTGCTTTCGTCTCCTCTTTCTCCCTGATCTCCTTTGCCCCCCTCCTCTGGGCTCCTGAATCTTTCTACAGCGTTTCTACTGCTACTCCTTTGCTTCTTCTTACTGCTGTCTTTCAGCCACACCCCTGATCTTCTGGTAGGAAAGATATGCACCTAGCCTTCCCAGACAAGGGCGAAAGATCTCGGAGGGCCCGTGTGCAAGTTGCGCACGTTAAAAATCCCTTGGTGGTCTAAAATCGATAAGAGTAGGCTTCGGCCGCCACCCGGGCAAAATTCAAAATTTCCTACAAACTGAAAAAGTTTAATGTGTCCCGCGCGCTCATACGACCTTATGCATTTGTGAGCGCCGTAAAACACAAAAACAAACAAATTATTACGCAATAAAGAGGGATAATAAGTGATAAATAATGAAATTGGCAAGATTGATGAATTTTATCTAGCTTGCTGTCACCATAATATATGACCAGAAATTGACGAGTTCCTGATTCCACTTCGACGTAACACATAACGATGATTTGTTCCTGTTTTCCTCGTCCTGGCAGGCAGCATTGTCGGTCTTGTAGGAGGCATCACCGCTAACTTCATCGCCGCC